ACCCGTTCGTTTTAAACGAACGGGCAGATAGGTTTGTGCCGACTATTTCGTCGGACTTCCACCGACTCGTTAGAGTTTTTTTTTTTTTTTTTTGGTACCCGTTCGTTTTAAACGAACGGGCAGATAGGTTTGTGCCGACTATTTCGTCGGACTTCCACCGACTCGTTAGAGGGCTTAGCCCCGACGGCCCATCTGTGGATGGGCGGATGAACCTGCCGCCCGTGGGCGGCTACGTTCAGGATCCTTAGAGAGAGAGAGAGAGAGTCCCCCTTTTGTGGCTGTAGGCCAGTCTGCGCCCGTTCGTTTGAGCAACGGGCTGCAGAACGGCACCGTACCTGGTGCCATAGGTGCCCAGGTACAGGCGCAGGGTAGGGGGAGAAAGAAGACCCTGTTGAGCTTGACTCTTGTTCGACTCTGTGAAATGACTTGGGGGAAGGGGGGGTGCTCGTTCGTCTCTCAGACGACGAGCTGCCCCTGCATGTGAGGGGAAAAAAAAAAAACGAAAAGAAAAAAAGGGGGAGAAGTTGGGAAAAAAAAAAAGGAACGGCCGTGGATCTAACCGCGGCCTCGGTCCAAATGCAAGTTTAGAAGCATCTGGACTGTGAATAGACTGCAGGCTGTTGGGATCAACAGTCTGCTTGAAAATGGTTGAGTACAGCCATTTGTGTACTGCGTCTGGCCGCGGGTGAAGGCCAGATGCACTGTCAAGGGTCAGAACTTGGTTCCCTTAGGGGAACATCAAGCTCCTTGGCCCTTGATCACGAGTTTGATCAAGGGCCGGACTCTATTCCGGGATTTGGTTGGGGGCAAAGCAGCTGCCCTCAGCCTTCGGCCAGCTATAAAAGTTAGCCTGCCACCCAGCAGCCTTACACTTGTGGCAATGCTGCTGGGGCATTCTACCTGAGTAGATGCTGGCTGGCTGGCTGCTGGTGTGATGAGGCGAAGTGCTGGAGGTCTGCAGAAGCACTTGGAGGAAGGAGGAGGCAGCGATAGCTAAAGGCTAGGAGCTTCTTGCCCCACCTTCCGTGCTGTGTTGCGGGCTATGGAGAAGCCGTAGCCTTGAGGCTGCTGCTGGACTTGGCGGTACGGTGAAAGCGCTGCCGAAATTCTTGCAGCGGCAACACTGTTTTTTTGGCGGTACGACGCGGGTGCTACTGGATTGTGTGGCAACAGTATTTTGCACAGGGCTGCGAGAAGGGGGGTTGGACGTTGCCGCAGGGACGATACCGCTAAGGAGGAAGTGCACTTTGTAATAGAAAGGGTGTGGCGATCGTCTTGTTGAGGACGTGCGGCACRCGGTACCTGTAAGGACTGTTAAGGCCGCTGTTATTTTTTTTGCRGCATACCGAGTAASCGGGGATTAAGTCCGAGACCACCAAGTATTGCGGCAGGCAGGTGGTGGCCTGGCTTGGTATTTGGTGGGTTGAATCGGTGCTGTCTTTRGTGGAAGGTGTGACATTGAGACTRCGGGATTTGAGAGTGTGACRCCCTCCTCAACGGTGGGCTCGCTTTTGKGTTGGTKAGCGACGCCTKAGTYAGAGGTGGCGGKTGAAGGAGGGTGTGACCCAACCTTGTGAGTGGCCACAGCGAGAGTTTTGCGGCCGAACTTTTTTCAGCGAATACTTGGCTTTCTTGAGTGAGCCTTCAAGAAATTCACTCAAGGTCAGTGTGACTCAGCTCCTCTGCACACCCGCGTGAACCCACACATTGCATGACCTTGCTTTGAATTTAGGGGAAAAGGTAGAGCAAGAGTGTGACGTCATGCGTGTAAAGAAAGGGCTGACTTGTTTGGGGGATGGATGAATCTCTGGATTGTTTCTTTTCCTGATTGTGCAGGAAGGTTGGGAGATGCACGTGAAAAGGAATCAACATTGTTTGCTCGAGATAATAATGGGGGTGCTTACCTCTCTCCCACTTAACCTGAATGCATGTGACGGAAAAGAGGAGGAACAAAAATAATAACGGGAGTGCGAATGGACGGGTGCCGGAAGAACGAAGACTGTGGGAAAATTAAAAGAAGAGAAGACAAGCGAACACCTTAGTATCTTCTTAATGACTTCCCCATTCTATCTCGAACGACCATTATCCTCCTATGCCCGTCTAAAAATATTTTACTTCTTTCTCTTCTTAATTCGTCTCAGTCGACCCTTAGCCGGGAGGGCATAGAGCGGTCGTTTGCACCTAGGGTCTAGGCTTCCTCTCTCTAGGAGGTATCTGAGGCCGGGGTTCGTTGCCTTAGGGGCCGGCCCTGTTATCGACTCGGAGCGGACTGCTTATGCGGGGGGATACCATGCTGTTGCGGTGGAGCCAGCCCAACTTCTGAGTCCTGAACAATGCGTTCGGGCGAGGGGGAGGGGTATTCCAAACCACTTCCTAGAGGGTGGGGTGTCTTGAAGCTAGGTGCAGTCGCCTCCTCGTGCTTTCAAGGAAAGGGGAGGCTGAATCTAGTACCCTGTTGGGTGGCGGCCTTAGGAGCCACCAACGCGTGGGAGGGTCGGCGCCATAAGAAGCCCAGCCCGTGGCTCAACTAGAGTTGAAGGAAGTGCAAATAGGCACTACTTCCGCGGATGGACCGTGACACAAGAATCACGGCCCAAAAAGGGGAGCGGAGATTGAATATGAAAAGGGGTATATCTAAATTTACTCTGACAGAGTTACCGCTTCGTCATTCAGATGCTTGCGAAAACGGTGATCCTCCGACTATTCAGCACATGCGAGGCAGCGGTTAATTGGCTAGCGGTGCCGACACGATCCTGCGCCGGCATGACACGGAAAGGAAGGCTGGTGTACAACCCTCGACAGGTTTACTCGGAACGGGACGTGCCACGATTCTGGGAAGGGAGCGCGAGGAAACCACTGCGGAGTTATATTTTCTTGGTCGAGCCAGACCAGCGTATTGTGCGATATGATTTTGCGCCTCCTAATCCATCACGAGATTACGGAGACATGAACTTAGTTGTGGCTCACGAGGACGGTCCAGAAGTAGAGAACATTCCTGAGGTTAGAGGGATGCTCCTCCATATTGTACTTCATTTGAACGATTTGCATGGTCAGTTCGGCCTCCTTCATCATGTGAGACGGGTCCGAGCGAATAGATTTACTATCATTCGCTTGGAACGTTTCGACGTCACTGCGTTTTATGACGAGGCTTGTGAAATTTACGAGCGCCTCTTCTAACAGGTGGCTTCTTCGGTATGCAGATGCCTAGCGGACGGCGGGACTTCACTCAGGCCAGATATCTACTGATTCGCGACACTACGGACGAGGAGTTGATCCGGCGAGCGGAGCGACTATTACTGGCTCGAGATGGAGTGCCCACACGTTGGGTTGGTTTCATTGGCCTGCTCAGTGATGGGCAGGGATTTTTCCCTAACTCGCGCGCAGATGTTCGTGCCAATGTGGCCCGACTCCGGGACGAAGTTCATGGATACACCTTGTACTTCCATCGCGCAAGCGACCTCCAATGCCTTTCTCGGGTCATTGTGAGCGTCAAAATTACCCTATCCGGGGAGCGCTACGGCATCATCCGGATTAAAGAAACCACTACCACGCACCTTTTTCGGATGCGCCAACCGTTCCGTGCCCTAGTTTGGAGGCTCGCCTCACGGGTGGGTTCTCTCTACGATGCGCGGAAGGTTCGAGTTATGCGAGGCGGACGTGTCTCCGCCTTGACTTTTGACGACGAGGAGCTTACGCGACTCGACCGGATAGAGGTAGAGGCCCATGAGGGCCGACAGGTTTATCCTGGCTGAGCGCACCCTCTCGAGTCAGGTGCAGTGGTAAGTGGTTCTTTTGTAGGGCCACATCTACGTGACTCTACAAGGGTAATAATAACAAAAAAACAAACAAACAATCTTGTGTAGGTAGGCCAACCAGATGGATAGTATCTGGATTGCCCCGATGATAGCACTATCATGCTGATATATTGAAGGGTAATGAACCACTTAAAAATAAAACCGAACACCTGAAACGGTGTCGAGCAAAAGGGCGAGGGCAAAGTATCAGGAGATGAAGCATCTCCATGCCAAGTATCTAGTGTTGGGGATGGGTACTTCTTCATTCGTGGAACGAAGAGAGTAATTATTGCCTAGGAGGACGAATCGACCGACAAAATTGTCAGTCGCTCCCCCGAATAGATGTATGTGGTACGACAATATGATCGAACCGGGAATTCAAACATCGACCAGGAGCCAGATCACTTGTTGATCTGCATGGTACTGGTGGTATTTAATTGTAAAAGTTGTACGCGACGAATCTCCCGTCTTTGGACGGCAGTGCAACTGCCTCGTTGGTCATATAAGCAGGAAATGATAACCTTGGCAGGCCATCTCATCGAGTCGAAATGTACTTCATTTATTTTATGAGCAAGGGATCATAAAGGGACTAGGATTATATGATCGGTTTGGTCGAGGCCGTCCTAGTCGACTGACGCTCGTTCGTACCGAGGAGATCAGAGCCCTCGGGAACGGACAACGTTCGGGTCCACTTGGCGTTAACCAAGCATACCTATACTCCAGCGAACGAGCAAACGCCCTCGGCGGACCTACCTCTGCAATTGCATGTAAAAGCTTTCGCACGTGGGGCAGTAGCTCGGTAGGGACACGCCCCTGATGGTGGTGACAGCCCCTCAGGGAAAGTAAGTTGTGACCTCCGAAAACGTATCCTGTCGTAGGGGACCGCGAGATGTACAGCTGGCGCACCCGGCTAGAGCGGCGAAGGGACAATGCAACCGCGTCCGTCTCGGCGGTTCGCGGAATCACTTATGCATCGTCCTAAGTTGTCTCTTGATTTTGTTTTGTTCTAACCCCTGCGTGACATAGCCGGGAGGGCCCTCGTTTACGCGAGGGCCGATGCGCTTGACAGGTGGCGCCCTTGCCGGGGATGACGGCGAATTACCGTTGTCCCTGGTGGAACGACACTCGGAAAAAGGATGGTTATAGGGATTTTTAGTATTGTGTATTATTTGTTTGGATTGAAAGTAGTCAGTGGTTATTAATGTCTGGGAAAAGAAAGAAGGCAAGGTTTGGAGTGAATTGTTGGAATCTATTTGACACTTGGACATGTGGGTTTGTCGTGTTGATTCTCTTAAGATGACGGGAGGAAATGCTGATCCCGCAAATAGTAATGCAGGGGATCGTCGCAACGATATTCTGGAACTCGCACGAGCCATTCGTGAGGCCGATAATCAGAAGGCGCAACTGCCAAAGATTCAAGTTCCCCTCTTCGATGGCACTAATGCCTCAGCATGGGCGGACAAGTTTGAACAATTGGGCAGTTGCTGCGAATGGTCGAGTGAGAAGATGCTTCAAATGGTGAAGCGATATTGTATGGTCGAGTACAAAGAGGAGGTGTCGGAGTTGGTGCAAGCTTCGCGCGACTGGACGGACTTCAAGGCCAAATTATTGGACAAGTACCAATTGGGGGATCAACTGCTCGATCTGGCGGACTTACGGAAAGTCAGCCGTCGGAAATTTGGTACGGCCAAGCAGTTTCTCACGGAGTTCGAACGAGTTGCGCGCTTAGTGCCTGATCTTCCTGATAAGGATCGGTGCCTCATCTTCCTCAAAAACTTTTCAGAAGTTGAGCAGCGAGAACTGATAAAGGATATGACTGGACGATACGACTGGCCAAAGATCAAGGAGAATTTGTTGGCTGGAAGTTTCGACCAGATGCTTTACCGTCTCCTGAAGCAGCAAAAGGAGGACCGCGAGAAGGAAGGGGTAAGCGCGGACAAGGATCAAGCCGTTTACAAAACCTTGACTGATATGCGGAACATGATGGCTGACATGAAGGAGGAAAGGTTGAAGTTGCAAGTAATGATGGTCCAAACAAAGGGTGGAAAAAGGAAGGGAAAAGCTCCCGTCGTGGAGGAGGTGAGTAGTAGCAGCAGCGAAGAGGAAGATGAGGAGGAAGTGGAGCCCGCTCGAAAAATGACCAAGGCAGAACGAAAGGCTCTGAATCAAATACGAGGAGGGCAAGGCACTAGCAAAAGGCAACGAAACAATAATGGAGGAGGTGGACAAGGAAGCAACCAGGAACAGGCGACGCAGACCCCTCCTCAGCAACCCCAACCTCAGGCAGGAGGCCGGGGCCGAGGTCGAGGTAGAGGCTAAGGCAATCGAGGAGACCGAGGAAATGGGGGCGGCCGAGGCAATTGGCAGAATTGGTTTTGCAAGTACTGTGGCCAAGATGGACATGGGATACGGTTTTGTCAGACCATTACCAAAGATGAAAACGATAAGGTTATATATACGAATATCCGAGGCGAGGTCTACGACTTCGAAGGGAATCTCATCGATCCCAATGTGGAGGGAGGAATGAGAAAGGAAGTTTTCCGACACATGGGGCGAGATCTTCCAGCAACTTTTTGACTGGCTTCTCCGGAAGAAGTCGAACAGATTGAGCTGGAAGCGACAATGGAGTCATTGACAATTGAGGATGCCAAGGCCGGAGATGAAGGGTTGAGCAAAGAGCAGGAAAAGATACTGCAGCGAGCTCAAGCAGTGGTCAGAAAAATGACTCGATGCAGGGAAACTTTTGTTCAAATATGCGCCGACATGAATGAAGAATGACCCGGGTTTCCCCAAGTTTTTATGTTTGGAGGATGGGACAGAGACGGCCAAGGAGGTCTTACTTATGGTACCGAGTCACAGCCTGGATCGCCGTCGGCAGGGCGTTTGATGCTCACCACAATTTTGTCCCGTCCTGCTTTCAAGCGACCTGCCACAGCTGGCCTCCCACAAACTCGGAGGGTTCGAAGGCCGTCGCGGCCAAGGGCAGCACCGGAAGAAGGACCAAGTCAACCTCGGAAAACCGAAACGATTTCGATTGAAGAAGACGATGGCGAGGAAGATGAAGTGCTGCGAGCCGAGGATGAGCGGCAGGCCAGACAATGGGCCATGGAAAGGGAGTCAGAAATGGGCAAGGCTGGTATTGGGGAAGGTGAGTTGAAAAAGAAGAAGCAAGTTTACACAATCCCGGTGGAGCAAAGGGCTGGATATCGAGCAAATCGTGGACCGGATTCTAGAGATCCAATGCGATTTGTTCACGCTCAAGGAATTCTTGGTCGCGTCACCGAAAATCCGAGAGGAGTTCAGACACCGACTGTCAAGGAAAAAAGTGATGACGGTTAAGATGAGTGATATCTTTCCTCAAGAAATTAGTTGGGCTCCGCCTGAGACAAAAATGGACTAGCACTGTGTAGCTACTGTGTTGTTGAAGGTGCAAATTTGGCCATGCGAATATTCAGCTCTCATCGATAATGGAGTTGAAATGAACATTATACGGGAAAGAGAAGCCATGGGGGCAGGAGTCAACATCAATCGAGCAGATACTGAATTTCTGGTGGGTGCAAGTGAGATAACTCCCTTTTGCGGAACGACGAGTGACGTGACGGTACAAGTTGGTAAAGTCAAAGTCCGTTCTTATTTCTATGTGCTACCCAGGGTTGAGCATGCCGTGTTGCTGGACAGAGCTTTTCTATGTCGATCAGAATCCATCATCTTTAACAAGCACGATGATACTATGATCGTGGTTTTGTGTGACCCCGTATGTGGCTATTACGAGGTGCTGAAGTGTGAGAACACAGGACCAACCAGCTCAAGAAACCGACTCAATCCGGGGTCCTACTCTTTCAAAGAATCTGAAAGACTCAGAAGGGAGAAGGAATCCCTCGCAGAAGAGAGCGATCCCCAAGAATTTTCTCTTGCTCTACCCAACATCTCTCAAGCGATCGAATTCGTTGCGACAGACTTGTCTGTGGATCCCAAGTTGGTCCAAACATTCACAGAGATTGTGGCAGGAGAAGGCGGGACTGGTAGGATGTATCTTACCTATCGGCCCGACAGGTCTTCTGAGGGTGATGCATTGGCGGAGCCAGAAGCAAAGCAAGGGTTTTTTTTAGAGGTGGACGACTTGGAGTTGGAGCGAAACGTAAGTACAAGAGAGTAGGCGAGAAAGCTCGACCAGTGCCCGTCTTGATCACGCAAGAAGAAAAAGTGTATTATAAAGAAGAAAGAGAGTGGATCAGGATGAGGAAGAAAAAAAGTGTGAAGGCGCCATGTCGATTGACGGAGGGGAGGATTAAGAATATGATCATTGGAAAGGAAGGGTCGCTTACTGAAAAGGAGGTGGAATTCCTTGTCAGTGTCATGAAGAAAACTCATCTGGCTTATGCCTTCGATGATGACGAGCGAGGGAGGCTTGACGTTGACATGATTCCGATGATCAAGGTTCATATGGTACCTCACGAGCCGTGGAACATATGAGGTCCGCGTTATCCAAATCCGGATGATCACCGTAGAGTCGTTGAATATTTGGATGGTAAGATTCGGACAAAGGTCGCGGATTACTCGTATGGACCATATGCGTCCCCTTGGTTTTGTTTCATCAAGCCAAATGGCGTATTGCGATGGGTGCAAAATTTGCAGAAGCTGAACTCAGTGACGGTTCGTGATGCCGGAGGACTTCCACATGCCGATCAGCTGTCTGAGTCATGCGCAGGCAGACCTATCATCACTCTCATTGGCTTGTACTCATGATATGATCAATTCCCTCTCTACACGACAGACAGGCCGATGACGGCCATGCATACGCCGAGGGGATTAATTCATATGTGTACAGCGCCTCAGGGATGGACAAACGCCGTAGCGATTGTTCAGAGATATATGATGAGAGTCATGCAGCCACTTTATCCGGACGTGACCTCACCTTATATCGATGACTTGGCCATACCTGGGCCGCGCGTAAAGGATGAGACGGAGGTGCTGCCAGGCGTTCGAAAGTTTGTTTGGAAGCACGTTCGTAGCGTGGAGAAGGTCCTGTCCAAGTTAAAGGAGTACAACCTCACCGCCAGCGGTGTCAAATCTCGGCATTGTATACGTGAGGCAACTATCTTGGGCTTCTTGTGCGATGAGAAGGGTCGTCGGCCAAATTCCAAGAAGACAAACAAGATTCTGGAATGGCCGACTCCGCTTAAGTCCATCACTGATGTGCGCAGTTTTTTGGGGACTTGCGGATTTTGACGCATCTTCATTCGCAAGTTTGCAGCAAGGGTGGAGCACCTACGGAAGTTGGTGCGTAAAAATCAGGAATGAGAATGGGGTCCAAAGCAGCAGGCGGCAGTTGACGATATCAAGGCACAATTCCGAGAAGAAGGGTTGATCCTGGGGTTTCCGTACTTTGACAATGACCCGAATCGGCCCTTTGTGGTTGAAACGGATGCAGGCCCCACAGCATTGGGTGGAGTCCTCATCCAAAAGGATGGAGAAGGGCGAGAAAGGCCATTGAGATTTGAAAGTCGAACGCTGAATGAGGCAGAACGGAAGTATTCCCGATTTAAGAAGGAAACCCTTGCAGTGCTTCATTGCTTCAGGATCTTCCGAAACTACGTATTTGGAAGACGGTTCGTCCTGCGGGTTGATCCGACCGCCCTGGCGCAGTCATTGAAGAATTATTCTCCCTCGGATCCAACTATTGCTCGATGGTTGATCTATATCTGGATGTTCGATTTTGAGATCGAGCGTATTGCGGGAACACAAAATCGAGCCGACGGATTGAGTCGGATCGAGTGGGACTCCTCGAAAGATCAGGCAGAAGACTCGGTCCCTGTGGATGGGTTTCTGGAGACGGACGAGCAACAACTAAGTATCAATGTTTGGGAATACATCAGTAATGCGTCATCCCGACCTGGGAAGTCTATCTAGAGTTCGCCGAGCTCTTATCAAAAGTGTGCAGAGCTGGTGATGAGGGAACCCTTTTTTGAGGAGGATCCAGCCAGGTGCGGTTGTGCACCTCGACCTGGTCGTTATGCCACCCGGACTTAATGGGTACAGTTACATATTTGATGTGAGAGACAATCTTACCTGGTTTGTTGATGGGCGTGAAATCCATGAGCGAACCGGAAAGATTTTGGCGGAGTGTATCGAAGAGTTTTACCTTCGGTATCCATTTGTTCGGTAATTTGTGATGGATCGAGGCGGTGAATTTCGGGCGGAAGAAGTTCAGGCTCTGCTGAGGAGACTGGGAGTGAACTATAGTTATACCACTAGAGCGCACCCCCAGGCTAATACTCCGGTCGAACGTGGGCATGCCACCTTGACCAATTTGCTAGCTAAATGGTGTGCTGGCAAGCCATCAACATGGCCCGTCTATCTCAGAGCTGCCATATTTGTTGAAAATATAACCGTAAAATGGACTACTGGTATGCTCCTGTTACATTATGATTTGGACGACACGCTACGTTTCCAATTGAGAGTTTCCTGACCACATGGCAAAAACAGGATATGAAAGTTAGACTTTCCACAGAAGAATTGTTGGACCTGAGGGTCAGGCAAATAAAAGCTATTGAGGAAAGAGTTATAGAGGCCGCTGCGTCAACTGCGGACAGCAGATGGGCGGATAAAGTTAGATGGGATAAGCAACCCCGGGTTAGAAAGGAACCGTTGGAAGTGGGGGATATTGTCCTCTTCTATGACTCTTCTCTTGAAAAGCAGTGGCCGAGAAAATTAGATAATCGATGGATGGGGCCATATCGTATTATTAAGAAAACGGACCATGGAGCATACGAGATTGAGGAGATGGATGGAGCACGTGGGCGAGATTGGGTTTCAGGCTCACGCTTGGAGAAGTTTGTCCATAGGGACTAAATAATGCCTTACTTTTCTTAACAGACATTGATACCTCTGGCTAGCTTGATTTTATGATTAAGTATTTGTAAGATATATTTTCCATGTAATGGACAGACACATATGGACTTGTAATGAATTATTTGTTGACGTCATTTTTGTCATTATTCTTCGTTCTCGAGTAAGATAATTAATGTGCACAATGATTTTCAAACCCTGTAAAAATGATTCTCTGAGCATACATCTCTTTTATTTCTTATGTGGAATGAGTTTTGCTTGTGAGGGATTGATTTGAATCATTTGTGCAAAGTCATGACCTAATGTGTAAAATGTGTATAAAATTTTGGAACATGTGACTTCCTGAACAATAAGTATTCGTTCTGTAGGCACATGGTTTAATAAATATAATAAGTTGATATGTAATACCTAGTCCTTATTGTGTCTTGATATTCCTGAAAGATGAAAGCCTTGTAGGTGGTAGTGAGGCTCGTGCCGGAACTTGGTTCCTGGTCCACAACGAGATCATGTCATTTTTCTTGAAAAAGGGTGATGGCTACACTATCTCCGA